CATGGAATATGTACCCACCCAGAGCCCCTGGGTACATACTTGGGTAGCTAGACCAACTTTCTGCCTGTGCTATCCTGGTAACGCTGCTATTTTTAGAGCTAGCACAGGTTCCTCTACTCAAGTTATGAATCACACCTCCCAGCTCAAATGTAGATGTACCCGTAGAAACAGTTTTATTTATCAAACTGTTATAGATTCCGTCCTGTGACAGTATGTTATACTAGAAAATTGTTCTTATTGTATGTTGACTGAAGGTGACCTAAAGGCTCAGTTAGCAATCCTTACTCACATTGCTGAGCACTTACTTATGTGAGTAGTTCCAATGAAGTCAATAGGACTCTTTATGTGAATAAAGTGTATGCATGAACACTGTTAAAAAGTGAACATTCGCCATCTGTAGAATTTAAATTTGCTATGGTATTTGCAGTGTTTTCCTTCCAAAACCGAGGATGCTATATAAATAATGGGATATAGCAGTGAACCGTAGCAGCCTAGATCTGCTATGCTATGCAGCAGAATTTGGAGGCACACTTTTAGCAGATGTTGGAACCCAGCAGAAAGCTGCTGAAGGTCTGCTGACTCATTGTGGCAGGTGCAGCTCGTTAATGCCATCAAGGCTATAAGGGCGGTGGGAGGGAGCTAAGGCAGAGAAGATCCTCGAGGGATGGATTAGGCATTATTTTTGAGGGAACAATAAAGCCAAACCACAGGCAGGGAGTGAGTTTGGATGCTAATTCAGGGTCAGTGTGCTCTGTTGAGGACCAGGTAGGACCAGACTGGTTGCATTACAAATAATTAGAAGGTTACAACATAGCTCTAGTGTATTATTTTCTTGTAATTACTCTATTTAACAACTTTATAAATCCTGTGGCTACACAAAGCATATAATCCTCTCATATTCTTACTATAGGGATGAATTTCTCCTCCTCCTTTCAATGTCCCTTCCATTCCAACAAATGGGGAAGGACATCATGAAAAGCAATGTGTTTATCCCACAAAATGGAATTACTATTATTTATTACTTGTATTACTGTAGCACGTATGAGCCCCAGTCATGGATCAGGACCCCATTGTGCCAAGTGATTTACAAACACAGAACAAAAACATGGTCTGTGCCCCAAGCAGCTTACAACCAAAATATAATACTAAAAATAACGGATGGCTACTGACGGATGGGGAGTACATGGAATCAATGAAACATCTTGCTGACCAGTACTAACCTATATGGTGTTAAATATTTTTGAACTGGAAAATGAGTCTTCGTTCCACTTTTGTGTGTGTTAAATACCTTTTTTTTTTTCATAAATAGAAGATGGGGCCTAAATGCACCCCACTCTTTGCACAACAACAAACCATTTAATGAGCGAGGCTGCAATATAGCAGAGGCCTGGGATTTGGAAGACCCCTACTTCATTCATTGCATACTGTCTGTTCTCTGTGCTGAGGACTCAGTTTTGCTATCACTTGTTCAGAATAAATCCATGCCTAAATAATAAATAATATGACTTATAGAATGAATAATATGACTTACAGAATAAATCTATGGCTTGCTGTAGGTTTTCACTGTGGTAATGGAATATAATTTAATCCAACCTAAGACACAGATTCACAGGACCTCTGTCTTATTCAGTGTGTGTTGTCCAAGCTATACATGGAATGAGGCAGGTATCCTGCAGTTATTTGAAATAATATAATTAGACTGTATTGTTGTGCATACGCACAAGAGGGCAGAGTTAATTTGAGTCCAATTTTGACTTGACATTTTCACTGCCTTTTTACTCAAAACAGCCATTTTTGAACATTGTACATTTGTAATAAAGACTTGTGATTAATATTCAGCTGTGTATAATTGGAACATTACAATTAAAATGTTCAAGAACTTACAGTTATTAAAAACAAACGAAACCCCTAAACCTTAAATGGAAATGACCATAAGGTAAGATAACATATATCAAGATTTTGTTAACTTTAAAAAATGTCTACATTCAATTAACAGTATTGATATATAGAAATTCGCCTTTCAGATTTCACAAACAAATGTAACAATATACACTTCAGAACTCTCTTAACACACACCTATTTATATATTTTACATAGTTAGTTATGCATATACTAGTGATGTATGAAATGAAAGTGTTTGCAAGTATGTGTTGTGGGTCACTTTATACATCCCCAATTTGGCCTGTTGCTAATAAATGAAAACCCTATGGACCAAATGGTGAAGTAGAAGGATCAACATATGTGCCAAATAAATGTTCCTTTTAAATGAATGTATTTGTTGTATAACTCATTGTGTCAATTCTGTAAAATAACCCTCCTTTAAGCAAACAGCTAATAAATGAGCACCTTTACTGTAGATCATGGTTAAATAATGAAGAGCTCTAGATGTAATACCTGTTCTTAACAGTAACTGTAGGTCACCTACTATATTTAACATTTAAGTATTTGAGCATTTACATTCTTTCCATTAAAATATTGGGCAGTCTGTATTGTGTGTGTGTGTGTGTGTGTTCACCCCGAGTGCCGATTTGAAAATTTCTTGATTAGCAAATACTTGAGTTTTACTGTCTTATATGTTTTGAAAGATTTAAAGAAGTTTCCAGATTTGAAAAACAAACCACCATAAAATTCTAAAGCTACCATTTTCTAAAATAGTAGCCACTAATTTTGGGTGCCCAGTATGAGGCATCTCATGAGACATTTGGCTGTCTCATGTTGAGCAGCCAAAAACAGTGACCACTGCTGAAAATTTGGCTGAAGCCAGGAATAGGAAAACGCATAGAGCAATACATCAGACATAAACAGAAAAACTCATCATATGCTTATATAGATCCTGGGAACTTCTGGCATGACAGAGAAACCAAATAGAATTTCTAATCGAATAGTAATATTTCATGAAAGAAAATACCAGTGATGTCTACTTGAATAGAATTGAAGTCTGACAGCTCGCTGGTATATTGGATTGTAACAGTCCTTGCTTTTTACCTTTTGGATAGCTGAATTCCTGTGTGTGTTTGGGTCAATTTCTAGAAATCTTTAATGCACATCTGAGTGTATTTCAAAAACTTCAGGGAATTTAGTATGATGATTTGGCACTGGCTGACTGATTTCATGAAAGACAGATCCAGGTCTATCAAGCAATGATGTTGTAGGTCCAAAATGAAGTACATTGGCAGAGCTTTGGGGGTAAATCTGAAGAGCACTTATTGGCACTACCATATTTATTTATATTCTATTTAAGTCTTTCACTGTGCCATCGCCCTGGTGTCTCATGGTCATGACACTGTAGTCACTAGCCACCAGAGATTAATCTATCCATGCATATTTTATATTTAAAAAATCTTTACTGTGATGATAAAAAACATGTATGATGTAAATGATCAAATTCTGGAGTGTAGTATGTTTAAACAATGCTCTAACAAAGCGTGTTCTAGGAAGTGAAGAGGAGTTGCTCTAAGGATATGCATGACAGCACATACATGAGCTTCTAGACCTGTATTGAGGTTTGGAGCTGTTGAAATTTAGAAGGTTCAGTGTTTTGTTGGGCTAGGTTACCAAGGTTGAGGAGGTGAAAAGGATTTTGGGGGCAGAAGTTATTTTAGCAATTACATGGAATCAAATGAGGTATTGGGAGGATTTGTGGCAGCGGGGTGACTTATGTGCCTTTGATAAAGGGCTGGGTTGGGAATTGAGAAGGTTATATTTTCCCTTTCTTGGGTTTTCGGGTGAGGGATCAGATTTGGTGACCTTGTCTGGAAACAAGAATGGGGGACTGGTTAGGTTTGTGTTTCTTGCATCTGTTACATTAATTGGGAGGGAAGGAGTTGCAATTGTAAGAATGGAGAATTGTTTTGGAGGAGGGAGATTTGTGCTGGGTTATCTTAAATTGCTGTCCTCAAGATGTATTAAGTCATACAAGCACATCAAGAGCATATGGGTAGGTGGCATTTTTATAAACCTAAATAAATAATTATTTGATGTTATTTAGGCTGGGTACTGCTTGTAAGTAGATCCATAGCATTTCCACAGCTGCCACAGGGCCTGGGCCAGCAGGTGAGTAAATCTAAATAATTAATACTTCTGTAGCCGCTTCTATTCAAGGATCTACTTAGGTATTTATATGGCCCCTTTCAATGCAGTATCTGAGTAACTCCCAAATATGTTTAGATTTATCCTCTCAACATCGCTATGAGGTTTGGAAGTGTAATTAAGGCAGAGGGGGCAGTTGGGCATGCAAGTCCCACTGATAGTCAGTGGGATTTGGGTGCTTAACTCCCTAAGGATGTTTTGAAAATTCCAGCCTAAGTGATTTGCCCAGGGTTTTACAGTCTGTGGCAAAGCAGGAATTGAACCCAGATCTCTTGAATCCTGATCCATAGCCTTAATTCCTCAGAGTGTTTTGTAAGCATTAATCAGTTGAGCCTCACAGTACGTTCTGTAAATTAGCCCCATTTCTCATGTAGGCGAACTGAAACACAGAAAGGTTATACAAATTAGAAGTTAAGCGAGGAAGGATGGTCGAGTGGTTAGGGTGCTAGCCTAGGACTTAGGAGCTCCAGGTTAAATTCCCTGTTCTGCCATAGATTTCCTTTCTAATGTGGGGCAAGACACTTCAGCCCCTCTGTGGCTCAGTTCCCATCTGTAAAATGAAGATAATAGTACTGTCCTACCTCACAGGGGTGTTGAGGCACTCAGACCCCCTACAGTGATGGGGAGGGGAGCAATATAAGTACCTAAGACAAAACTTGCTTGAGGTTCCAGGAAGCCTGTGGCAGAGCGAGGATCAGAACACAGATTCCCCTGACTCCTAGTTCTGTGCTTTAAATGCAAGATGATCCTGAATCTTTGATATTTGTGCTCTGCATAGCACTTTAATGGTGGCAATCCTCGTTTGTCTGGGTTTGTGTTCTGGGTTGCACTCGGTGCATAGAAGAAGATAATTAGAATAAGAAGGTGTGTTTTGCACTAATGTTTCCATGTTTCCTTCCTTCTCTTTACAGCATTTTGTTTGCAGACATTGTGGGGTTCACTAGTTTGGCATCACAGTGCACTGCTCAAGAGCTGGTGAAGCTTCTGAATGAACTCTTTGGCAAGTTTGATGAATTAGCTACAGTAAGCATGTCATTCTCTTTTTTTTCTTTTCTTTCCCTATTTAATTTAATTGCTTTTTGAATAATGATGTCTTGGGTGGATTACATATGTTAGAGACATTAAATAGATTGATTGCTAGCCCCATTTCCACTGTGAGGCCCATAAATCATGAGTTTCTAAAGTTTCTTTTCATTGATTTATATTTATATTTTTGAGATAAAGCAATCCATTTAAATGGTAAGAAAAGAAACTGCAGTTGCTATTTTTAAAATACTTTCCCCAGTGCTCTTGACTGGACTTATTTACAATTAATGGAGGTAACTATTAAAAATGTAATTTTTTACCATTCATAGAAAAGAAATAGTATAGTGGAAGATGTGAATATTGAATGTATAGTATAAATCTATTATGTGTTGGTGACAAGAGTTCAGAGCCTCAGTTCAGTTCCTCGCTGACAGTTGCCCATGTCACAGAAACTGTGATGGCTCATCAAAGAGGCTATTATGGATGTAATAGATGTATTCTGATTACAAGTATTTATTATCTAGTCACAGCACCCACAGAGTAGTAGATGCCTTATGGAATAAAAAGACAGACACATTCCTTGCCCATAAGATCTGATATTCTAATGGTACAAAGACATAGCAGTCGAGAAATACAAACAGTTGGTGGGGAAGTTGGAGGATGTGTGGTTGCAGATGACCAAATAAGTTCACGTGGTTGTTTGTGTGTGACACCCATGTCCTGTTCCAAATTATGTTCTATATTATGTTCAAAATGTTTCTTCCACAAATGTCCTTTTCAATATATAGTGATCCCTTAATCAAGACTCTCCATTCCTTCCCACAAGGCGCTCACCATCTAAAAACATCCTCCCATGCACTGTGCTCTCTCACCATCCTACCATCTCCTCTCCTGACTCCATACAGCAACCCAGAGTGTGTCCTTCTGCACCTCCCAGGGATTAGCCTCCCTTAATTTCCTCAGTACATATCCCCTGTCCCTGTATATAACTCTGATGTCAAGCTTTGAGACAGATGAGCAGTTTCCACCCCCCCCCATTCCTTTGCCAAACTGCCTGCTGATAAGATAGCTGGCAGTGTCTCCTGGGTGGGAGGAAGTCTCCTGCTGTATGCGATACCGGAGGGTGTGGTGACCTACGGGCCCTCCTTTTCTCTCAGTTGTCTAAGGGAATGGGACTTCTACATGAGGTGATCAGGGCCAAACTGTAAAATGTCAGTTTCCTTCTGTGTCACAGGAGTCCAGAAACTGTGAAAGAAGACCATGACAGAACCTTTTCTCCCATCCTTAAAGTCCCCCCACCCAATGGTGTTCAGGCCCAAAGAGGTGCACTGGCTGGGCTGCAGCCTCCCTGCCCCATTGCTGCAGCGCCCTCCATCCCTCTGTACAGTGGCTATTTCTGGGCTTCTCAATTCCTTGTCCTGCAAGTGGAGTAGCTACAGTTTCTGCTGATGCCGTGTTTGTTCCCAGGGATCTGGCCCCACCTCGGGAGATGTTCTTCCTTCCTTAGCCTGTATGATTGGGGGGCAGGGCTGCTAGTGTCCCTTAAGCCCCATCCCACATGTGTTAACTGTTTCTGTAGGGGCTGCCTGTAGCGTAACAAAAGTGAGGGAGAAATTCACTTTTCCTTTTAGATAAAAGTAGCCTAAAAACTTGCCTCATGTAGCCACAGAAGCTTTTATAATTATCTTTAAAAATTATTCAACCTCAGAGCTGCATTTAGGGATGCCAGATGCACCAAACACTAGCATGGGCAGAGCTGATTAGACTGATGGCCTACGGGATGGATGCCAAGTGACAATGGATTTAGGTGGGAAGCTTTGCATAATTTCTAAATACCAGCACAGCTCCATGAATGTCAACCCTGTGTGACAATAAATAAGCATTTGGGCCATTCCCGATGCCCTTTATGCTTGAGTGTGTTTCACAATTAAAAAAAAATCACCAATCGCAATGGGGAAACGTTCATTGTAATCAATGGAAGTCTTTGGATCAGGCCTTAGGTCCTAGCTCTCAACTTCAAGATGACTTCTGCATTTTCTTTGTTAAGGAACTAATAAGAACAAATATTTTAAAATAAAATAAAAAAAATTCAAACTCCAGGAATTCAGTGAAACTTATTCTTATTATTTTATTTATAAATTGTGCCTACAGCATTGGTGTCCCTGGCCTTTGGCCAGATAGGGTATCTCTGTATTGGATACATTCTGATTGAGCAGTGGTGTGTATATATATGGTGTGAGTTAGCCTGTCTTTCTCTGGATTTTAATAAGGGTGCTTGCATTTCCTCTGATTGCTATGACTTCCATAAGAAGAATCTATTGCACGTTGTGTGCTATAGAGGGGAGATCAGAATGAGGATAATGCCTGTGTCAGGAGACAAAGAGGAGCCTAGTAGTAAGATCATACAAGGACACCTTGGGAGGACCTGAAACTGCCCTTTTGTAGGGCATGTGCATTGAATATATGATTATCATGGGAAAGGGATTGTCCCTGACACCAGTTCTCTTTTCCCTGTTCTGAGATCTCACCATCTTGTCTTGCTCCATTTCATCTTGTTGACACTTTATCTCCTGCAGGTGTAGCTCCTACCTATTCTCTGTTGTATATCATTCATTTCTTGCACTGCATTTCTTGTCTGGGATGCCTTTCCCAGTGGCAGGACGCCCTCCTGAGGAGTAATGTAGCGAAAGCATGGACACCCTTTGAGAAACCAGATGACAAAGTAGATTAATCCTCTGAAGTTTTCAATGTGCCATAGAGGTCCAGCCAGAAGACTCAGAGAATTCTTTAATGAAGACCATGAGAGCCAGACATGATTTAAGTGAGCAAGATCTCTTGCAATTCCTTCCAACAGCATGAGGAGACACTAAAGTGTTTCTCAGCATTAGAGTAGGATTCTTGTCAGTGGTTCACAATTATTCCTACACATCTATTCGTTCTTCTCACTTTCTTTCCCAGAACTCAAAGATGCAAGTGTTTGATACCCCAAACAGAGAGAATGGCACAGAAGGCGATCTATCTAAGGTACTTAGGTGCAGAATCTGAGCAGCTCACAATCTTTAATGCATTTATCGTAATCCCTGTGAGGTATCCCCATTCTACAAATGGGGAACTGAGCCATAGAGAGAGACTCACTTTTTCAAGGTCACACAGGAAGCCTGTGGCAGAACAGAGAATTGGACCTAGGTCTCCTGAACCTCAAGCTCATGTCCTAACCACTGGACCATCGTTCCTCTTCTAGGGAGGGTCATCAAAGTCTTGTTTCTGCTTTGGTTGCATTTATGCTATACCAGAAAGCTATCTAATTCTTATGATTTATTTTCTTGTAGTAAGTCTGTTTCTGCACTGGGGCGTATGCATCTAATGAGAACATGAAAGGCCTGATTCTCCTCTCATGGTGTGTCTACTCTAGGACATTCCACACCATCATTCTAGCACTGAGGCAGCATGCAGTGGGTTCATGCAAATGGTGACAATAAACAAATCAAGAGCATAAATCTAACCCAGATATAAACACTAAAGAAGGTGTATGGTAGAGTTTTAAAACTACGTGGTGACTCTGTTATGCACTTGCAAGTTAGTCAGTTGCACGTAAATCCCAAGTATTCAGGCTGCATGTGAGTAGAGCATGGAGCAACTGGAAAGATGATAGTCAGTTGCACGTAAATCCCAAGTATTCAGGCTGCATGTGAGTAGAGCATGGAGCAACTGGAAAGATGAAATCCATTGCCCAAACCAGGGCCAGGGTGCAGGGCTGCTACTGTAGTTTATGGACTAGAACAGCCCAGTTGAGCTGTTTGCACTGAATATGAGCACTATTGGTGCTACATACATGTGAATGTGTGGCTCCTTCCCATTTCAGCCCCATTGTGTCCTGAGCCAATATATGTGGAGCCAATAGTGAAACTGTTTACATGGCACACTGGGGTTGCACATAAATCTCTGAGATCAATTCACCATTGGAATCCCTGCCCAGAAAAAATGTGGGGCTTAGCGCCCAAGGCACTTAAGCAGATGCATAACTTTGAAGCTAATGGGACTACTATGTACTTAAAACTACACATGTGCTTAAGTACCTTTCTGAGTTCTTGCCCTCTGGAGCTTCACTTCATGGGTGAATTTCATCCTCTGATTGGGGCAGTGAACCCCCCCGCCGCCGCCCCGCCCCGCCTCAACTTTCTAAAATCTTACACACAGTTTTCCTTTGAGAATGAAATGAAATCTCTTATCTTTTCTTAACGATGCAAAGGCATGAACCAGCATTTGCATGCGACAGTAGTTTGTAATGTACGGCAGCAGAGTGTGAAAGAGGACAAAACCTGTCTTTTTTTTTTTTCCTGCAGTAAAGAGAGTCTTGTAATCATGTCTCTTTCAGTCAGATGAAATGTGCACAGAGATACATGGTTTTTTTCACAGGGATTCTAATCTACTGATTAGAACAACTACTGCGTGTGTTTTGTACCTGATTAATTCAAAGTCCTAGTCTGTGTTGGTTAAAAACAATGGTGTGCATTAAAACTCCAGGATGTGTGTGGGGGGAAATGCAAGGAAAATCTATGGTCATTTATTTGCAATGTGTACGGTCCCTGTGACTACTGAAGTGTGATCTGTGATTGTACATTGTGTTTGTTGTTGGTGCTTAGGAACCAACATCAATTGGAAGTGGCAACTTGTGCCAGCCCTTGGTAAAATAATTGCCCTGTCTTACAAAGGTAATACAGAAAAATGATCCCAGATAGCACTGCAGTAAGTGTGGTAGGAGGAAAGGGCAAATATTAAAACAGCATTTACTTACTGTTAGTAAATCTTATGGAAACAGATGGGCTTGAATGTTTCTCAGCATTAACAATTTAATAAGTTTTTTAAAAATATTTAAATAGCACCTTTCATCCCAAATGATCCCAAACTAGGTTAAAATATATTATAATAATCATTAAAGTTCTATATTGAGTCTTTGTTCCTTGCACTGAGTATTGGTTGGCATGTAGCAAGTCCTT